GGCTGGTCAGCCACCTCGACGGTGAGCCCCTGAGCTGGTCAGCCAGCTGTGCAGTGAGCGCCTGAGCTGGTCAGCCAGCTGTGCAGTGAGCACCTGAGCTGGTCAGCCAGCTCGGCGGTGAGCACCTGACAGTGAGTACCGGCACCGGCTCCTGTTCAGAGTGCATCCCAAAGCTGCCGAGGGAACCTGTTGGGGCTTTGCTGTAAGGTTATTTTGTGTTACGCAGCGAACGTTGTGGTGCTGCTCCTCCTGCAACACTGGAGTTAATATTGCCTGAATTTCAGGGTTTGTCCTGGGCTGAACTTGTTCTATTTGTAATCAGAAACGAGATGTTGTGCCAGAAGTGGCAGGAAAGGCTCTCTGCGGCCTGCCTTCTGCCCTTCTGGAGGGGTGAATGTGTGACACCCTTTAAAACGCTGCGCAACGCAGACGCGGGGCTCCTCACGGTCCGCGCTTCCCCACCAGCGAGACGCCCTGGGGCGGGAGTAGCGCCTGGTGCTACCAGGCTCTGGACAGTGGGCCAGAATTCACTTAAAAATAGCTTTGAATTTCCCCTGCTGCTAAAGCTGATTTTCTTTTCCCTGCCCCGCCATGAGAGTTCCGTCGGAGGTGAGGTGCGAAGGGATGTCGAATGTTTCTGCAGTCATCGCTCTTAACTTTAGTTTACTTGCCGTGCCAGTGCTCCTGAAACCTGAACTGGAGCCGCCACTTTCACTCCTGAAAGCACGGCTCTGCTCGTCTTTCATTGCACCTGGCAGTCCCAAAAGTACTGCGGGCGTAAGTCACCGTCCTCTGAGAGAGCCCCAGCTGGTGGTTGGGACCGTAGCGTGATTTCACTTGGTGTAGCAGGAACTGAAAAGGCTGTACTTCCATCTGCGGTTTTGTTTCCTGTCCCTTCTCCGATCGCTTATTAAGGTTGAATTCTCCCAGTTCCGCTAATTCCCTGAATGGCACTCCCTGCTTCCAAATCTCTTCTTGCTACAGGACTGAGGATTTAAGCCCTTTCTGTCTGTTTTCCTTCTTCTCCCAGAAAAAGGGATAATTAAATCCCAGCGAGTCTTTGATGTGCTGTTGGCTACTGACAGAGGTCACTACACCAAATATTTCCCGTACATGGATTCTCCTCAATCTATCGGTGAGTAACTTAAGGCAAAGTATCCCCGCTTTTACAGCGTGCCCGTGGAGTGTGCTCGTCGCGCCGACAGAGGGGCATGAGATGGCTCGGCAGGTCCGAGCTCTCCGTGCTAGGTGCTCTCTCCCCAGAACAGTGGCTGAGTCTTAGCGTAGCTCGAGCGGAGCAAACCCCGTGCATATTTCAGTTGCGGGATCCAGGGGAAAGAACAACACAGCTTTTCCACGTTCGAAATGTTCATCGCTTGCTCCGAGTCCTGCTTGGGGAGCAGAAGCGAGCGCGGGCTGTGGGAGCTGTGGAGCGTTTTGATGCCTGAGCTGGGGACGGGAGGTGGGAACGCTTGGAAAGTCGGCACCGTGCGGCTGTCTTGCGCTCGTTAGTCATCCCGCAGGAGGAGCTTCTCCGTCAATGAAGTGCTTTATAGGAGTGTTGTCATATTCTTAGGGGAAAGGGGGGAGAGAATAAAGAACTGTTCACATTGGTAATTTTAATTGTAATTTCTTTATCATGTAACTTCCGCCACTCATTTTCTTTTAGGATACAAGGCTACAATCAGTGCGCCACATATGGTAAGAGGAAACTTCACTTTTAACAGAAGTGACCTCCTCCCCCCCCCCCCCTTAAATACTAAAGTAGAAAGGTGAAACAGATCCCACGGATGTGATTATCATGCCCGTTTCTTTAGGCACTACATATGCAAAGCTTTCTTCTTTTTAAGAAGAGTTTGGCCTATACTCTTTAAGTTGCCTTAAAAGTATGCTTAGATAGGAATTCTGTGCAACTGGGGCTAACCGTTAATATTGTCCATTTTTTGCACGAGACCTTTTTTCCCTGCCACTTCACATCTTATTACTGAACCTCTTCCTAAATGCTGTTCTGCGAAAAGGTCTTCCAGATCAAACGCTTGAATTTCACTCTGAATGTGTCAGACAAAATGCCGGGTGTGCTGTGTGTGCCGGGTGTGCAGATAATGCTTAGAACAAGAAAAAGTTTTAGGAGAGGAAACCAAAATGGGATGTTTCACACCTTCTTGTACTTGTGGTCCACACAGCATGCCCATGCACTGGAATTGCTGAAGGATCAGCTTGTGGAAGGTGCAAAAGCGCTGGATGTTGGATCTGGAAGTGGATATCTTACAGCTTGCTTTGCCAGGATGGTAAGCTCACAGGACTCCGGCTCTGGCTAGTGAGGTGCAGCAGGACCGGTAGCTTGCCACAGCCGGCGCGTGCTTCTTGCGGGGAGAGAAGGGAGTGGGGAAAAGGGCTAAACTCCTCCCAGACCGGCTTGTAGTAAAAAGAAATGCAGTCATTTCTGCAATCTAAATGGGTGCTGTGTCTGCTGTGAGACGTTTTGTACATTAACCCAGTTCGGATCAAGTATGTTAATCTACTGTGCGAGTCCACTGTAGGTTCTTTCTAGTTTGCTTCTTAAGTGCTCACAGTCTGTTTCTTTTGTTTTCTAAACTCCTGAAATGATTTTCTGTGAAGTGCTAGAAAGCTGGTCAAGTTACCCTTCTCAGGAGGTTAGTTAGTCAAGAACTGGCCCTGCCACGGAAGCTGCTAGTTCTACCAAATAATTATTTCTTTGGAAATGAAGGATTACGAGGAATCCCCGCAGGCAGTGTCTGTGTATCCCTCAAGTAGCTAATGTAACTGGTACTGCTCAGCCGGTAAACCGAGGGGCCAGAGTATTTGCACCTCCTGTTCAGAAACTCTGCTCTTAAGTTGCTTCCTGGAAATTCTCCAATCCCTGCAGTAACTTGCCCTACAAAATGCATCTCTCTACAGTATAAGAGGTGCGTAGGTGTTTGTCCGCTGTCTTTCTTTTTAGGTGGGCCCAACAGGGAAAGCTGTGGGCATAGAGCACATTAAAGAGCTGGTACACGAATCCGTCAGAAACGTCCAGGAAGATGATCCAACTTTGCTCAGCTCTGGCCGCGTAAAGCTTGTGGGTGAGCTCCCTGGGACCCTGGTGCTTGTTCCCTCCCATGAATGCATTGGCTCTGCCTGCCTGCAGAGCTCTGCTCCTCCAAGCAGTTGTTCCAGTCTGTGGTGGTGCTGGCTGCGGTGTTGCCAGAAACCGCTGGCTGAGTAAGCACTGTGCCGTACTGACCTGAACACTACGGTGTAAACAAGTAGTATTTAACGTTACAGGCAGTCTTATCATACACCTTGCTTCCAAGTGTGCAGTA